GGAAATCAAAAGCTGTGGGCCAAGGCCAGATAAAATGCTGCATGCGCAGAGGAAAAATACATGTTGACACGTCTGAAAAAAACAGGAGAAAGACCTCTGACACGCTTTGGAAGCGCTGCAAGGATTTCTTTATGCTGTAGCCACGAGTGTGTGTTTTTGAACACATAATATTTGTTCATGGCGATAAAGATGCCGTTTGGGATGAAACACAGTGTGTGAGTGTTTACGTTCCGTCACAGATGAAGCCCTAAGATGTTCGAATAGTAGAGGGAACACACACCAAGCACACGCTAAAACACTTAAACATAAGCACATTTAGCAGGGTGCAAAAATAAACAGACATAATACAAACTAGGGGTGGGGGAAAAAAATCGATACTGTGTAGTATCGTGATATTTTGTTTGCTAATATTGTATCGATACAGGGACAGCAGAAATCGATATTTTGTTACAAAAGAAGTTTTTGTGGACTGGAACTCTGACTTCAGAGCATGTTGATCCTTTTTCTGAGCAAGAATCCTGACATTCCTTCACTGTCCAAATGTGTTTAACTTTTTTTGGCAGCAATAAACATGACAGTTTACTTATTTTAATTTAAGAAATGTTTTATTTTAATTAAGTTTAAAACTTTTTTATTTAATGTAAAATTATATTTTGTTTTAATTTACTTTCAAATTCTTCAGTTGCTGAAGGGGCTGCATAGTTTTCATAAATTGCATAGTTCAGAATAGCTATAATTGTACCAGATGGTTGCATTCAGTTAAGTTGGACTAGACTGTAATACAAACCATTCAGTTTGTCAACAATACAACTGACTGAAATGAGAGTGTGAGACTTTAATATTAGATAAAATGAATATTGATAAAGTTTAGCTTTATGTACAGAATCTGAATATCGCAAAATATTAAAAAAAAATTGCAATAATATCGTATCGTGCTTTAAGTATTGTGATAATATCGTATCGTGGGATGTATGGTGATTCCCACCTCTAATACAAACGGTCACTTTCTTGGATCTTCTCCAAGTGCGGCGCTCCTAATAAGCAGGCGGCTGAACGGCATCAGTGTGTTTCTGTTTTTGAAGCCGGACCGCAGAGGGCCTCGTGATGAGGAGCGAAACGAGCTGGCAGATAAGTGGGGAAAGGATGAGGACGAGTCATTACGCTTGACGCCGCCACAGCAGGAGAGACGGAGGGCGATGGGTGGGGGGGCTTGTTTGTTACAGATCATTATGTGATGTGATTGCGCTCAGAGAGTCAAATTTCTGATGACAGCCTGAGCTGCTGACCTCGGACCGATTTTATGTGGGAAAGCAAGGCAAAACAAACAATAATTACTGCACAATGAATTATCAGCGAGGATTCTGGGAGGCAATAAAAGCCGCACTGTGGATCCCACAGTCTAAGCAAAACAACACTCGGCAATTAGTGCAGAGAAAATGCTGTCCTATTAGCGGCAGAGGCCGGTGTTCTTCCTTCCTTCAGTAGTGCTGAGGTATGACGCAGTAGCACACTACTCCGCCACCCTCACAAAAATCTGCATTTTCTGATTGCCAACAAATCCCATAAAAAGAAAGGATCCTGCTAACAACAGTAGGGTCGACGCCTGATGTCTTACTGCTCTGTTCCATGGAGCTCCATCATTAAGCCACACGGGATGACATGTTTGTTAATTATCCCGGACACACAGGCTGTAATTTATTTTGAGTCAATCAGCCTCCTGCACCAATCTTGCATATTAATCTGAACTGAAAACTACCCGACTGCTAATTTTGCATGCGAGGAATACCAGAGTAGAGATAAATGTGCACAATAGGTTAATTGGGGAGGAAAAACTGATGCAGATTTCATAATGCAAACATTTGGAACTGACCAACAACCTATATGCTATACCTATAGGTGTATCCTCACAAACATAGCAATTATAAATCCATCCATCTTCTGTCCCTTCTTCAGGTCACAGGGAGAGCAGACAGCTCTCAGACTTCCCCGTCAACAGTCACCTGCTCCAGCTCATCTCGGGGGACAGTGAGGTGTTCCCAAGCCAACCAAGAGATGAATGCCCTGACCCTAACCTTCTCCCAGTAGTACCCCAGATCACCTGACCTAAGAGGTGCCCAGAAGTCATCCTAGTCAGACGCAGAACCACCTCAACCGCCTCCTTCAAGCAGAGGAGTAGTGGCTCTACTCAGAGTCCCTCCTAAATAATCAAACTTCTCACGGTGTGTTCGCCAAGGGAGCCTCAGGACTCTCTTCACCACAACACACCAGTACAGCGTCTGTATCATCGTGGATGTGAGAGTCTATCGGTTAATCTCACCATAAAGAAGCTTGTAAAGAAGTAGACCTGGTTGCACCTCTGTGTGTATCGCTGACGTGCAGGGGCACCAAGAATGAGGGAGTTGCATGAGATCTGTGGATTTAGCTAATTTCTACTTACTATTTTATTGCTGGTCACGTTGACTGCTCGGCAGGTCAAAGTGACCCTGAAGCCACAGGGCATCGTCCCAGTACTCACAGCAGGTGGCCTGCCACTGATCCACCAATAAATTACTACTGCTTGACAGTTTTCTAAAAGATGGAGGGGTCAGCTATTTTAGGAGATAAATTAACATTTTATTTAAACTTAAATAATATACATTTGTCCTAAATAGTAGGAACTAACAGGCAAGACAAGAGCACCACAGACACGGAAGAGAAGTTAGAAAGTATGGAGACAGACTTTGCTGACAGCAAAAATTAAAGTAAAAGGCCAACTTTATTCATGCTAATTAGGCTATGCAAACGTCCTGACTGAGGCCATTTATTGTCCAGATTTCAGCACCAGCAGCACAGAAAGCAGCCAACACACACATAAAATGTTTAACCTTGAGCTCAGCTTGATTTATATATACACAGTGTATCGACAGGATGCCAGACCAAAGGTACCACTGCTAGTGGCTAACATAACAGATCATTAATGCCAACTGTGTGTAGAAATAGATGGTAACCCCTCCTCCCAAGTAAAAAAAAAAAAAAGCATCTAAAAGTAGCGGTGCGGCCAGAGAGATGACATCCACAAACACATATCAAAATGCCACAGGGAAAATGAATGAGTCTGGTCTTCGAGCACCACATAATCAGGCCTCGCTTGTGTATGACAACTGCAAATAACCATGTTCACTCGAAAACACGAGCAGCATCGGCAAAGTGCAGCGGTCGCAAATGTGTACCTTCTGCGCTAATGTATTCGATCTCTCATTTAGCAAACGTCTGTCAGGGTATGAAAAAAAAAGAGCTCAGTTTAGGTACTGCTGGCATGCAGGCTGACCGCACAGAACAAACTATCCCTGCCCGGACGCACTCTGTTTGCCAGGAAACCATTGCCCCCCTGAGCCACTAGCAAATAGCCTCTGAGCAGAGGGGGTTTCCAGTAATCAATGAGCTGTGGACAGGGTGGCAGCAGACAGCTAGTTAGTCCAGCTGACAGATACCCACAGACACTTCCAGAGATGTAGCCAATGTCGGTTGTCTGCATGTGGTTTTTGGAGGTTTGAGAATTGATGTTCAAAGACAACAGCAAAAACAGCACAGTGATAATACTAGCAGTAATCTATCATGCCTGTCTTTAGATGGGTACCTCAGAGATTTGTGGCTGCCAGCTTCTTGGAGTCCATGTTTAAGTCATAATGTGTAATTAATTGTTCATTTTAAACTGACTTAGTCGTAAGCTTTGTTTCGTAGTAGTTCTCAAACATCCACGTGACTTCAGCTTGATTTCTGTGCATCGGCTCACTGTTCATTCTACCGTTTTGGCCGTACCGGATGTATTTAACACATCTGGATCTAACTGAGAAACTTGGACACCACTAAGTCATGATTTATCCACATATCTTCCCATTATTTAACATCTAAGTCTTGTCTTGTCTCTGGCTCCTAAACATTACAGATGTAGATTTAAAAAGTGACCAAGGTTTTTTCCTTCATGGCTGCTCAGCTTTGAAGCAACATGCCTGAGGAGTGACGGTTCATTGAACACATTTGTAGACACAAGCTTCTACTATTTTTGTTGTCATTTGTGGTACTGTACTGGCATTTATTCATTTTGACATTTTCCATTTTGGAGAGATGACTTTTGAGATAATTTCCCTTCAAGGCCACAAATACGTCACAAATACCCCTTTCTTCTTATCACAACAGAAGAACGAGATAAGCCACAAAAGTTGAGAAGGATTCTTATTTACTCTGTCAATGAATGTGTTTGTGTCTATGCCTCACACACACACAGATCTGCTCAGACATCTACATCTGTGTGGGTGACAGACAGACACAGGACTGGTGGCTTTTAACTGCCATTACTGAGTAAGTAAGCCATCAGTGTGTGAAAAATAGGCCAGAGAGAAGAGTGGCAGTGACACTATGTGCAGCAATCTCAACACTTCTGCTGTGAGTGAAAGTAACGAGGAAAGAAAGCGAGCACTACAGCACTAAACTATTACTCTGGTCGCTGCTTAAAAACAAATAAAACTTCTATAGGCACCTGTTCAAATACCGGCACATGTATTCTTTCATGTATAAACAGCTCAGACTAAATGGGAATAATGAGAGTCTCTTTCCAGAATCCCTCAGGCAAACAGATTTTACCTCGAGCCAGTCGTAGCTGTCATACTTTCCGAAAACAAATTTCACTGAACCTGCTAATGTGGCCATTAAAGTCAAGTCAAGCCTGTGTGTGTGTGTGTGTGTGTGTGTGTGTGTGTGTGTGTGTGTGTGTGTGTGTGTATCAGTACATCAGTCATCACTAATTTTCTTCAACTGAAATGGGAAAACAGGTACATCGGAAAATCAGTTTGTTTCTATTCCTGTAAAGAATTCTTGGCAAACAAGTTCCCAAGAACATTTCATCTTTCAATCAGGCATGACCAAGACGAAAGAGCCTTTAACGGCAAGGAAGTCCCCTCTGGAGTTTTTAACAGCAATTAGAGTTTTTAAAAAGTCTATATGTAACATGGAAAGGGCTGTACCTGAAATAGTGCTTCGGTGCCTTTTCATATTCGCTCAACAAGTCTCTGGAGTTTTGCTGGAGTGAGAGAACAAAAAATCTTCATCAAGATATTTACTCATATGAGGGTGGTGTACAAAAGCACTGTCTAACATCATCTAATAGGTTCATTTAGATTTTATCCTCATCAAACTTTCTTTTCATGCTGGAAGTGAGAAACATCCTGGACATAACAAGATGCGTTTCATTATATAAAGAAAACACGAGACCTCATCCATACGGGCCTGGAGGCCGGTTGGCAAGCCAATGTGTACTCCCAACAGATTGGCGAGTGGCTGTTGGAGTTTGCTGAAAGCTGGTAGGTAAAATCAGTCACAAAGAGGGTTCTGCACCAAAAACCTCCTTGTGATTGCTTTGTCCGCTGGTAGGTACAACAGCAGCTTATAGTTTGCATGGACTATGGCAACTTGTCTACAAACACTCAATGTTGGCTTAGAAAGTAAATGTTGGGCCTTCCACTTCAGCATGTTTCAGAAAGTGCGACAAACAGCGCCCACAAACAGTCCAGTTTGTGTCGCATCTTTCAGTGTCTTGTGAAGAAATCTTGACAAACAAGATGCAGAAAATTGGCAACAACTGTGTGCTTAACCATAAAAATCTGCTGACAACCAAAGCAATCACAAGATTCTCGGTACAGCACGTGGTACCCAGTTGTGACCACACTCTAGGGAAGCAGTGATTGCCAAAGTGCTGCCAATCAGTGTCACATGTCAATCACTGCGGTCTTCTTGAATGCCATTATGCCAATGGTTCGCTACACTTTTTGACTTGGTAATTTGTTTCATTGCCACCAACTGTATGTTTCTACCTTATCAATGAAGCCATGCAGAACTCATAAAAAAAAGTACTAGAACACATTTGCCAATAGATAAACAAAGATTACAAAGACTACAATTAGTGAGCAGCAAAGATACAGTACTGCTAAAGAAGGCATGAATCACATGAATCCACTTAAATACCATGTGGCCAGTGAACTGTTCACTACTCTTGTATATGTATCAGCAGCTGACTCAGTGTGACAAGTATGTGGGCTGACAGACTGTCACAGGAAATCAAGACATGATATTGAAATCTATTGGAAAGCATTCAGAAACATTTTTTTAAGAGGTTATTGTTTTGTGGGCAGCATAATGCTAAGAATTCATGCTGAACCTGGATTGTGACTGAACCCTAATACCTAAAAAACATAAATATTAAATCAAACAAACAAAAGAAAACCACTGAATTCTGATGATGAATATGATGAATTCAAAGTAGGATCAGTCTTGGTTGAGTGACTTTGCTCGGATTTTGCAGATTACAATTTATTATGAAAAACCACATCTTATTTTTGCAAAACATGGCACTCGCATCAGATCATGCATAAATGTATACATTCAAGACTCAGTTAAACTTGCAACAGCCAGCAACTGTTGCTGAACGCTTGTTAAAAAAAGGCCTGTGCAGATGCATAACAAACAAGCAATTGTTTGAATGAGTATGCAAAGCATCAACTGATAAAACAAACACAGACTTTGACCGTTGACAACATTCAGAAATTTCCTACACATGATAACATTTAGCTCGTGTTTCCATTCATCCGTTTCTGAAGCACTTAACCAATTCAATTCAAGTATGATATTATTGTTATTTAAATATTCACTTTAATTTGACCCAGCACTGTCTCCTATCCAGCGGATATATAACCGACACTTGCACTGCATGCGCACACGCCATCCGTACTCCCAGCGCTGCACATTTTGAAATGATGTTTGGTGTAAGGAGAGGCTACACCGATCGATCGTCACCACTGTGAAGCGAGCTACTGTAAGAGCAAGGAAAGCTTTCTAAAGCTAGCAGAAATGAAAAACACAAGTGGCGCGAGCAGGGAGAAACACTTTGAACTAAACATAGAAAACACACACACACACACACACACACACACACACACACACACACACACACACAGGTATCCCAATGTGTAAAGGATGTGTATTCCATTTTTTTTTTTTTTAACATGCAAAGTATGTCCTGGAGAGCTAACGTGAGTGCAGTGAGCTGTGTTTACAAGTACAAACTCCGCAAATGCAATAGCTCCAAGGGTACTACACAACTGTGCAAGATTTTGCAACGCCGTGCAAGTAGTGGAATCTGTGCTGCAATCGGGTTTAACTTCTGACATCTGTGGTTACCACGATGCACCACAACTGCATTGTAGTGAAAACGTGTTTTCGTGAGTGGGAACGTACTGCAAGGAGAACAGACAAGATATGCAGAGTGTCCACACTGGTTAAGAGTCGTTGATTATAACGAGGTTCAAGACACTGATGCTTGAGCTTAGGAACAAACTACCAAGTCAAATCTATTTGAAGGGCAAAACTGAAACTGAAAACGAAGCAGCGTTGGTAATCTTTCTCAACTTTTGGCTCCTTTACAAAACCAAAACCTACAATCACGTATCGTCTTGCAGTGTCATTACAGCTAATAAGAGTTATAAGAAAATAAGATCTGACTGGAAATCGCCTTTAAGCTTAGTAAGAACTTTAGTAAGAACCGCTTTCAAAAGGTTGAAAATTTGCGAGCGCATATATATCATTCATCAATGTAACTAAAGAGTAAAGAAAATATAACAGGACTAGATGGAGCACAGCTGGATTTTCTTATTTTCAGTTCAGCAGCTGTTCCTCTTTGCTCCAACAGAAACCACTTCCAATAAAAGATGCCATTTTCCAACGTGGAACGCTAACAGACAGATTATACATCACTTTATTTTCCCAATTTCACTCCTGCTGCTGACATGACCGACTCTGGTGCTGCATGCAACACGCTCTACGAAATGTGCATGTACACCACATGTGTGCACGAATGTTTGTGAGTACAGTATGCACTATAGCAGCTATGTCAGCAGCAGTCTTGTAGCAGCAGGTGAGATTTACGAGGTGCTAAGAACGCTTGCCTGTAGCCAAGTGATGGGAGACTGATTCGCCCTCCTCGCCTCCCTGTACCCCTGCCTAACGCTCCCCGATTGCCTCCACTTGAAGACACACAAGCACTTAAAGATACACATTCACGTAAACACATGGCTGCGCTTATACATGGAGTAACCCCACCAGACAAACAAGCACACATAACCCCTGAACCTTAAAGTGTAGCTAAAGCCTTCACTGCCCTCACTCCACTTCTCAAAGACACGCTTCCTGGGGCTAAAAACACCTTCTAAAATGTCCTGCTCACCAATTTTTCTTCCCTGCTGACTAAATCTCTCCTCCTTCACACATATTCTGGAATTACAGCATGCACAGAAATGCAGTACAGTGGGGATCATTATGACAGAAAAGGCTGTCCTGACAGGGGAGCATGTTTTACAACCTGAGGCTTCTACCTTTACTGGATGATATAGAGTACAGGGTTTCATTTTGTATTGCAGCTGCTATATACTCTATAGCTTAGGTGAGCAAGTAAACACATACTCCCATATCCAGGATGCAGAATGTGTATCAGATGGATGGCTGCTTACTGCAGGTTTGCTTTACGCTATAACAAAAATAACTTTTCTTATGACTGATGAAGGTTCGGTTTGACGAGCAAACATACCTTGTATGTTTTTGGATGCCTTTCAAAGAATCGTTTACCTTAATATTTTATTACACATGCCAAACTAATAAACCAAGTGATGAGTCAAATCTGCAGGATTTTCTGAGTCAAATAGGCTTTCAATCCCGGTAATGAACTGATTTGATTCAGGTGTGTTGACCCAGGGTGATATCTAAAACCTGCAGGACACCCCGTCCTGGACACCCCTGGCATACCTGGTTGTTGGACAGTTTAACCAATCTCTCAACCTGAATCACGAACCTTCGAGGATGAGCATCCTGAATGTCAATTATTTACAGCAGTATCATAATCAGTTACAACACAAGTCAATGCTTAAAACAGACTTTTTTTTCCCTTCTACTGGGGCATTGTTTTTGCTCAGGGGTTGAACAGGGGGCCAAATGCAGATGCCTGGTTTTGATTCTAACCCAAGGCCATCTGCTGCTCCATCTCCCTGCTCTACTGTCTCCTCTTCACTAAAATTAAGAAATAGAAGTGAGAAAAGCTCAGAGTATAAAAGAATACTTCTCCTGAGGTGTATATTGATCGCAAAAGCTACCAAACAAAGAGTCAGTCAAATGTTCAATATTCTTTTGTTGTTACAAATGCTCCGACATTACGTGTCCATGCACACTTTCAACCTGTGACTGACACGAGTCCCCATTCGGCTTGCAAACATCTGTCCAAACAACTCCGATGGCTGTTCTGTCTTCTTCTGTCCATGCCGCTATGCATTGCCTCCCTCCTCTGCAGGGACTTAGAGGATTAAACTGCAATTATATGCTTCCCCTTTCTCCCCAGCTGTGCAGAAAGGGGAGAGGAAAGGACGGGAGAGGAAGGGAGACCTTTGACCCAAAACTAATCTTTGAATGACTCAAACAAATTTAAATACAACTGTCAACGTACACAAATCCACCGTACATATTTGCATATTTATAACCTACCAGAACACTGCAACAACTAAACAGATATATTTTTCAGAAACTGTGAACAGAGCAGACATCAATGTCAAATGTCACATCAGTGTCAGACATGAAAAAGCAGGAAGTAGCAAGGATAGGCAGCGATCACTTCCTATATGACATTACCCAACTGCGTGTATAGAAGGTATCAGCTGAGCCATCACCCGACGAGCCTGGCAGTAAGATCAGCTGATTTACTTGGATGATCAATTTATTATTTAGTGTTATTCCAGCCAATAAGACCTTAAAAGATGTGTGACACCTTTGTCAGATATAAATGATCTGCAGCAGATGAATGTACTGCTGCTGATTAATATTTGTAAGACAAAGAATGGAAAATATTTTATAGACATCCCCTCCAGTCAGAAGGAAACTTAAAACTCCCGAGTATTCAGTTCTGTCATTACGACGAGACACGACTCACAGTGAAGGATGATGGCGCAAACGTGATGCAAAACAAGTGTCAAATCATCAGGTGCTTGAGCTTCTTCTTCCTCTGACAGATGAATATGTTTACATAAATCAGTCAGTCTGCACACACTTGTTAATAGTCCAATCCATGACATTAGGTGGCACATTAGTGTTTTTTTTCCCTTTGGTCAAGAAGAACTGGATGAAATATTGAGACGAGAGTTGAAAATTACACGAGCAGCAGACACAGCTTGTCAAGCTAGGAACAAAAGAAACAAAGCTCCAGAATACCAATGAAGTCAGTCCCCTGTTTGGCAGTCTTTAATTAATAAAAGCAATGGTGATCTAAAGAGGTTAGACATTCCAAAAAGAAAACACACACACACATAAATAACAGTCAACGCTCTTTTGCTGTGTACTTTTAAACACTACAGAGCAATCCACAGTGATCCTACTGACATTTCCAAAAATTTAGAGGAATTAAATGCTTGTTTTCCTCTTATTCGGTGGAAGTGGAAGCACAGGAACGCAACATTATCATCAACTCGACATGAAAAACACCGACTGCAGAATCTATTATTTATTTCCAGTCTCTCTTGTATTGCTTTTATTCCCAATCAACCCCTGAGGGAAATATCTGGCTTTCTAGCTTCCAGCCACTCCACTGCGGAAGCCTCCAACTTTGCCTGCTTACTGTCTGTGGATCAGGTAGTGCACAGCGGGTTTCTCGAGAGCTGCAGACATGGTGTGAGAGAAAAACTCGCCATAAAGCTCTGCGGAGCAGAGGAGAGCTGCAGATTTGGGTGATGGTGCTGTGTCATTATGATAATACTGCATTGTTTTCACACAGTGAATCCGACGTGTCGAACCGTTTCTCTGTGAAAATTACATCTATGTAATCAGACCAGTAAGTGATCAGTGGGACCAAGCAGACAAAGTGGGCATGTGGGCACTGCTACAATTAGATAATGAACGGCTATACAAACAGCACCGGCTACAAGCCAGCGGCTCGCTGAGGCTCTGCTGTGTACACTCGCATAATAAGCATACATTTATTAAATACACAAGAAGACAGGCAGAACACAGCCTACCAGTCATACTGCGCGAGCGTGGAGTTAATGATTTCCCCAGGCCTCTTGCGTTGTGTAGTCCGCCTTGCCTCCGTTCTGGAAGAAATAAAAAGAGGATTGTCAGAGTGGATGAAAAGCTTAGGTGGTGGTTGGAGGATGCAGGGATATAATATATAGAAGACAAACAAAGGTACACGGTACAAAGGCCAGTAACGGCACCTCCTTGCCCTTTGTCCTCATTCCTTAGGCTCAGTGTTCTTGCTGTCCTTTCTGTTTGTTCTCTCCTTACCTCAATTCTTTCATTCTTTCACGTTGAACAACTAGTTTTTTTACTCCATCCTTCTTTTGACCACCTGACGTTACTCTCCTTCGACACACCTTTTTCCTCCTTTCCTTCTCATTTTCTTCTATTGTCCCATTCTTCCACTCCGTCTCACTTTCTTTTTCCTTCTCTCTCTTTTCTCTCTAACTCTTTAACTCTGGCCTCAGGAGACTTGACCTGTTTACCTCAGAGACCGACATGAAAGCCAAACATTTATGTATGGGTCTGTGTCACAGTCATGCTGTAATGGACGCAGAAACGTCCTCCTGCAGCTAGCATAACTGGTTTTATGTTAGCTGCAGTCAGACTAGAAGTGAACGTTGAAAGTCTCGCATCAGACAGATGCTGCAGACATCTGCTTCCTGGAGCAGGCTCTGACTCTGATCTTCACCTACATATCATCTCAGGTTAGAAACTTTGTGCTACTATGCGGGCCACTTAAGTGAGATAAAAGGATCGACATCAACCCTGTATGTACACAAGCTAAAGAGCTGAATGTGGACTGGAACAGGGGGGGAAAGAACTTTAACCAATTAATTGGTTAAAAAGCAAAAGCCACTATTGCACAGCATATGGCCAGGGTTTTTCATACATAGGGGAATTTTAGCCACTAAAATTCCCAAGAGGTTTTAGTCAGAAAACCTCAGCACCGGCATTAGATATTTTTAACCAGTTTTATAGATTGTGGTTTCATTTATTCAAGCATAACAGACACAGATTTCTGTCACATAAAGTGACACAGACCTACTGCCTTTAGTGCACACAGTCCAATCAACATTAGATGCAAAGTCACTCCCCAAAGGCCAATTTTGAGACAGGAAAACCCCTGATGGCTCCGCATGTAGTGTCATCATAAGCCCATCTTTTGTTTTTCCTTCCTTTCTTATCTACATCCTGTCATTTCACACTTGTTAATTCTTTCAAACACATTTCTCCCCAAAATATTCAATTTTCCACAGATATGACACTTTACTTTATGCCTATAAAACCACAGTAACTTAACAAAAGTAAACTCTGTTGCATAAGTTCGACTTTATGCAATGGAGCAGTGACTCAGCATGCAATGTCTCATTTTAATGTCTGAGGTTTAGCTGTGAAAGATGTTTAGTTCAGCTTGTCTATTCTCTGGTGACACCTAAATGAATACTTTAGTAGACAACACCATACTATTGACAAATACATCCCAGCATCCTTGTAGCATTTCATTACAGTTTGTCTCCCTATAAAGCTCCATGAGGACAGTAATGCCCACAAGCGTCAGCTACAACAGCTACTTGGCACACAATGACAGAGGTTAGAGGCAGAAGACGAAATAGAAAGAGAGGAAGAGAGAAACTGAATGAGAGAGGGGGTTCAAGAACACATGAGAAAATCCCTTCATGGTAAAAAATAAAAAATAAAAAATTAGAAACAGGAAGGAAACAGAAATTTGAAAGTGTTTTAAGACGTTGAAGAAGGAAGGAAGCCCTTAATGTCTCCACGATCCCCTACGATAGGAAATGCCTGAAGTAATGCTTTTGTTTGTATGTCTCCATATGTTGAACTGACTGTACTACAAAACTGGAAAGTGTCAACAACAAAAAAGTCAGAGAATGATGTAGACAACTTTGCAGTCAGTTAAAGAAAGTTGAGATTTGGAGAAAAGCGTTTTCAGCTTCTTGAAATGGACTCCTCCTCTTCTCCTCAACCTCCTCAGACAATCAGCAGCTTAGAACCCACACACTTCTTTCTATGAGGTGGCGGTGCTGCCCACTGCACCACCGTGAGAACATTGAAGTGCTGTCCAGAAAATAAAACTGACAGTGCAACATACAATGGAACAAAATCACCTCTTACATATTTTAAATATTACTGCCTGGTGGTAATATACTGTATACGCTGCGTGATTGTCTCATCACAACCATTTCATCACATATTCCATTACATTTTTACATTTTCTATTTCACTTTTTAGTTTTATTTTAGACAACGACTGATCGGCCAGTTCAGAGAACACAGTCTGTGGACATTCTGGTACTTTTCCTGCTAATTTAATCTGCTGCTTATTTAATGTCAATACGATCTCAATTTGACATATACTTCCTAGCCTGAAGTCCACTCAATACTTTTCTCCAGAGTTTTCCACCGAGGATATTCCATCTGCTGCAGGAGGATCAATCGCTGTTGCCAAGGTCAACAATGGACTTTCACATTCAATTTTCTCAAGTGATGTTTCAGAGTATGTACTATACACTGTGAGTGAATTCTATTCATATCACCCACTACCAATGTACTCTCGATGACATGCGTGTCTGCAATGGAAAGTGTGGGTTGCACTTAAAATACCACATACGGGGGAATTCCCCTCTGCTTGAACGTAAAGAATCAATTTTCCCGGAGAAACTGCTGCAGAGAGAACAGGAAGGTTGGATGGATGGATGAGGGTATGGGTGGATAATTTGATAGACTGAAGGCCCTAAAGATGACTAATTTGGCTAACAGATGAGGCCGAAGGTCATTCCCTGAGTTTGCACATGGAATCTCTGACCTTGCAGATACAGCCGAGGGGTGGACTAACAACGTGGCGGTGAAATGGATCGAGTCTATAATGGATGTTTTTTTTTTTTTGTGCAAAAAAGAAAAATGTAGTATGGGTCAGATGCGTTTCACAGGCAACAGATGAACTCATTAAGGACAGCATCTTCAGACTGAAGGTCAGCTACGCAGACCTACTGACACTCAAGTTTAAGCTGCACTCCCCCACTGCAGAGCATCAGATGATAATGGATGTCAAAACAGAAGCAAAGGGTGAGCAGCAATGCACCGAGTCAAGTGCTTGGGTGTCTTCGTAAGAGGACGAGCTTCAAAGTAAAGCCTCTTCATTTTGCTAACGCTGAGCAATGCTATCGCTGCTGCCGGCGCAGCCTTTTCACCATCCTGCTGACATGAATAGCTCCTTTTGTCACAGCGAAATTCCACTGGCAAGTTTTTAATTAGCTGGAGGGCTCTTCCCTTGTAGGCCTGTGTGGGCAAAAAATAGAGAAAAAAAGAAGATGGGGCACAAGGAAGAAGGTTTCTTAGCATGAAGGAAAATATGGAAACTGTAAGAGAACTGAATGGAGAAGCTGTGAAATTTTTGGATGATTCACACCAGGGTTTAAAAATTTAGATGTTTCTTTGCTTTGTTTTTTTTAAACTTTACTTGCATAATAGTGTAATCCTTAAACTATAATATAATCTTCATATTCAATAAAGAATACTTCATGGTATGTTCTGCATCTACAATGCATGTCCTTTGTGAATAATAAAATGATCACAGCTGTCTTGTGTTTTGCACAGAGCATGTGAAACTTTGCTGGGCCCGTGTTCACGAGTGTCCTGTGACAAGTTGGGTTTCAATCATATGCGTGTGCCATTTGATCACATGCTTGTGCTATATTTGCGCTGACTGGACCACCTTCTTATATAGCACTAAGCCAACCTCAGTGCAATGTCACATACTGCTGAGCACTTTAGGATGTGGGTCGAAACCGTATGCGCAGATCTGATTGAACCAAAGCCAAGGACACATCAGGCCATATGTTCAGCAGCTTTCACCATGGACTGCCTTCAATTACCTACTTTCTTCTTTGCTTCAGACGGTACATTCTGAAGAATCACCTCAAACTTAAAGGTGTAGATTCTTTAACTATGAAATAACAACATAGCAAACTTGAAACCGGCAACTTCCTGTTTCCTGTTAAAGGGAACCTATTCGGCTCATTTTCAACTGCATGTTTTTATTCTTAAATAACTAGCTTTGCATGATTCAGAGTTCAAAATAGAAGTATCTGCTTTCATTGGCATCGTACAGACCTAAGAGCAGAAAAATCTGTCAGAGACAGAGACAGAGTGCTTACAGCACTCTGTCTCTGACTCTTAACTTTGCCTGTGTTCAATATGAGCATCCTCTACTGTAACAGTATACATATGACAACAAATAAGGAAAACCAAATTAGGTTGCCTTTAACAAAACAAACACAGATGCCATAAGTAAAAACAATACGAGCGCGGTAATTAAATGTAGCGTAGATACCTACGACATTGCAAGAAGATCCAGATGTCCAAAGAGACGGAAAAGCTGTGGGAGGTGTTTAAGGTTCTAATGTTCCCAAGCTGTATGTGACCTAAAGGCATAATGTCGTAAAGTAGCTTCCTGGCAGGAATATTTAATTATGTGATCTCAATTATCCATCCAAGACTGGAAGGGTGCCAGAACATCCAAATGCGGATACTTCGATAAGATCGCTCATATGCTGACTCTTGTGCTCACCATGACGGATCGCTTGATGCCTATCTGACCCACGCCTGCCCTCCATTCCCCTACATCATGTCAATAATAACACAATAATAAGAACACAATAATAATTTGTGCTTCTTTAATTTAATTTAGTTCTTTGCTGTCCTTTCTCTAGTTCTATGGGATTTTATTTTTTGTCCTTTTTTCACAAAGCTGTCTGGCTGAAATAAAAAACGAATTAATATCACTGCCACATCTTTACACTTGCAAATGAAAACTGTAAAACCTGATTCATAAATTCCTTTATGATGTTCTAACAATCTGGCTGCAAACTTTCACTATAGTAAATTGTGGGATTTTATTTTACAACTAGTGGTATTTGCCAATTATTAAAAACAATCACGTGCAATGATGCAAGAGCACAGGCACTGGAGATGTGAGGCTTGTGGCCAAGAAATTTTCATGCAAGCTGCAAGAAATGCTGCGTTTTGCAGGATTTGTGCACCCGTTGCTTCTG